TTCCACTAGAATGTTAGCCTGTTGAAAGCAGGAGTTTACAAGGCCTTAAACTACAGATCCTAGAATAATGCCTGACACAAAATAGGAACTAGTTGGAAATTTTTGAGGAAGAACTTGGCCTAGTACTGCAAGGTCTTTCAGAACAGTGTCTTAGAGAAAAAAATATATATAATAAATCCAGAAGACTTTCATTGTATTTCACAAGCACCTGAAACTCAGCACGAGCAATAGTACATAGCACCTTTCTCTTTATCTGTTCAAACTGGCTCCTCCTCCTGCCCTCCCCAAGCATGTAAATAGAACTGCCATCCACTCATCCACCCACGGTCTAGTTGACAACCCAAATAAGAAAATAAAACCCTTCGGAGCAGGGTGGCTGTAATCCTAGAACTTTGGGAGGCTGAGACGGGCGGATCACTTGAGGTCAGGAGTTCCAGTCCAGTCTGGCCAACCTAGTGAAACCCCGTCTCTACTAAAAATACGAAAATTAGCCGGGCATGGTGGTGCATGCCTGTGATCCTAGATACGCAGGAGGCTGAGGAAGGAGCATCGCTTGAACCTGGAAGGCAGAGGTTGCAGTGAGCTGAGATCGTACCACTTCACTCCAGCCTGGGCGAGAGAGTGAAACTGAGGTTTGTTTTCAGTGCCTGAAGTTTCTGATGCTTAGGGTGAAATACCTCAGTTTGTATTGTGAATAAATTAGTTTCTTTAAAAAACATACCTATGGGCGCCAATAAAACACACAGGGATGCCTGTGACCTAAATGATCATTGAGTGAGAGCTTCAGTTATATACTCACAGCAAGCAGCCTGCAGACCAGCAGGGTGGAATGCAGGATGGGGTAGGAGGTAGGCCAGGGCTTGCTGCAGCCTCTTTCTTAAACGTATCCTAACACTCCGGCTCCCTGCTCCAGTCTCTTCCCCCTGGCCCTGGAGCGAGGTGAGTCTTCAGCGGAGGTGCTGACCGTGCCTGGGTTTTTTAAAAAATGAAGCATCTCCGCTATTAGATCGCTGGCAGCGCGAGGCTGTGGACACGAAACTAGAAGCAAAGCCCTCCGTTTTGTGTACTGCTTATTCCAGTACCTCCCTATAATAAAGGTATACACAACCCCAGAGCTATGCCCGCTAGGTGGCGCTCGTTCTCCACCGTACCCAGGCGGGTTCGAAGCCAGCACTTGACTTTTTAACACCCTGAAAGATGATTTCCAACCCTGGCTTTTTAGGTAAGAAAACTAAGCCCAGAAGAGGGTTTTACGTGAGGTTGCTTCTCTACGTCTCAGAGCCGCGCGCATAATCTGGTTTCTGAACCTGAGTTTCCGTCACCTGGCTGTCTCTCTCTACACATGGTTTAGTTTGTTGATTATAGTAAAATGTTGTGTTTCCTTTTTCCTTCTTTCTATATAACGAGGTTTATGTTCAGATCCTCAGGCCTTGGTGTGATTTGTTTTCAGATGTGTGGAACAGAAAAAAAAAAAAATGTCATTAGATTTGCCTGACTGAATTTTCTCTTTGATTACTTTAAATCCGAACGAAGCTCCTTTTCCAATGAATAATGAGTAATTAGAAATCGGTAAGGTCTATAATGGGAAACAATTAATAAGTCTGAAGGTTAATTAGAAAACTCGATTCGCGTAGAAAATCCAAATGGGTTTGACATCAGACAGAGCCTGACTTAAATCCTGACTTAGCCACTTACTAATAGGAGTCACAGTTTCCTCATCTGTAAAATGGGAATAACAATGTTTTCTACTCATTCCAGTCCCTGCGGTGTGTACATTCAATGAAACAATAGGCTTTGGTTCCTAGTACACTGTCAGTGAGCAATTTGTTAACTATCTTCTATATTATAGTCAGTTACAATACAGCCACTCTCTGCAGTCTGATATATTTGGACCATGTGCATGAAAAACCCTGCAGGGGGCTGGACAACTCAGGAACACAGGCACGGGTGCCCGACGCTTGGGATGCTTAGGCCGTTTGGAGCACCCTCGGGGGTCTGCGGACTGGGACCGACGGTCAGTGCTGGGCGCGACCTCTGCCTGGACCTGGCTCTGGCGAGCCTGCAGCGCCCCCGCCCCCCATTCCCCGCCACACATACTCTTCATTTGCTCACTCAGTGAAGCACTGGCTTCAAGAGGGCATCGGGTCCAAACCCTCGTTTTAAAGGACTGGAAGTTAAAGAAGGCAGGTGACTTCAGTCAAAGTCACTGGCGTCTGAGAGACGAGCCCCGCGTGGCCTTTCGTTGCTGGGCAGCAATCGGTGGGCGCGCCCTCCGGCCGCTGGCGTCAGGGAAGGCGGCCCAGGGCGCAGGTGGCAGGCGTTGAGTGTGAGGCACGCGGTGGCACCGCCAGGAAATCCCCTGCCGACTGGGCCCCCCCGGGAGCGCGGGCACCTGCGCAGCAGCCTACGGCGCGCCCCCGAGGGCCAGGGCTTCCCCTTCCCCGCCCTCCTGGCTTTCGTAGCCGAGTCCCGCTCTCCGCCCGCCGCCCGCGGAAGCCTCACCGCACAGCAGCTTCCCCAGACCGGGCCGTTTCGGGGACCGGAGGGCGCAGCGCCTAAGGGGACGCAGGATCCAACTGCAGAGGAGGAGCAGGAGGAGGGAGGAGGACGAAGAGGAAGGTGTGGAGAAGAAGGGGAGGGAGGCAGAAGAAAGAGAGGCCGAAGACTAGGAGAAAATGAACCCGGGGAAGCCGAGGGGATGCGTCGGGGGAGCAGGGCGCGGACGCCGAGCGAGCCCCGCGCCTCTCAAAAGCCTCACGGGCCGCCCCGCCGGGCCGCGCCGCTCCGCCGACTCCCAGGCCGGCCCAGGCCGGAGCGTGGCGCCGTCGTGAGGTTGCAGAGTTCCTGGAGCTAACAGCTGAGCCCGAAGGAAGTCGCCCTCGATGAGCACGAAGCGGGGCCCAGGCACGCCCGCGAGGTCGCGTTAGGATCTGCGGTCCTCCGACTGGCGCTGGCCTGCTGCGCCTTCGCCACACACTCCCACTCGGGGCCTGGACTCCGCAGTGACGCCGGGTATTTCTGAGCATCTGACCACCTCCCCTCCCCCACAGCCTTTTCGTTCCCACCCAACCCCTTACTAGGAGCAGCTTCTAGTTGCAGCTCAGGACCCGGGGGTTCACCCTCTCGCCAAGCACCCAGCTGCCGGCCCTGACTACGGTCACCCGCAGACCTAATGGTCGGCTAAGCACCGCAGTGGCCCGAGATGACACCAGGAGCCTCCCTTGCTGTGCGCTTCCGGAAGACTCGGAAAGTCTTTCTCACACTCCTGGGACACAAAAATACCCGACAACTCAAAATCGCCGAACCACATCTTTTCGTGCTTTAAAAACCTCTGCCCAAGCCTGTGGCAGGAGCATATCCAACTGTGATTTGGACTTATTTTTAAACATCGAATTGAAGGGAAGAGGGGAGGGATTTGCAACTAAAGTGTAGTTTTTTTCAAGCAAGTCTTTACATAGACCCAAACCTACTCTAGTACTCTGCCATGCAGCCCCCAATCATCTCTGCCTGCCTTTATGGTTCTGATCTCACTCCACTATTAGCACCAAGTCCTAAACCCACAAAGAGATAGCTGTGCCGGACACCAAACCCACGGCTGCCCTTCCCCTACCTTCCAGGCAACCGGTGTCAAATCTCCTCACTGTGGTTCCCAAAATCCCAGCCTGGGGTTCGGAGAACGATAATTTAAATAACATAGCGGGGAGGAGAGGACACACAGTTTTGAAAGATGGTAAGCATTCAGCTGTGTTCCCTTCTGCGTCCTTACACTTGCTGAGCACTGACCCCAAATTTAAACCGCGTTCCTTCAATACTGATGTAATTGTAAAGAGCTATAAAGGGCAATGACCTCTTCAAGTGAGTGTTTCTTTCTCCAGGTACCCTACAAGGTCTGCACAAATCGAGAAAGCATCATGTAGCTGAAATGCTGAAAACTACAGATGCTGCAAAACCTCATTCTGAGGCTGAAAACTATGAATAGTGGGTGTATTTCCTCCTGCTGTGCAGAAAAACAACAACCAAAAAGAAAGCAACAAGGGGAAATGTTATTTATTTTAATGATACCAAAATACCAGTCCTAGCAATTTATTAAAGTAAAATCATAGTCCTTTAAACATATTTAATGGTTCAAGTTTGTGTATTTGGCGTTAACCCTCTGGTAAAGTTTATGGAGAACAGTGAAGTACGTTAATTGAGCAAATTTTATGTTAAAAAAGGAATAACAAATTTAAAAATGTTTTTATGTACCCACAATATTTGTATTTCTTAGCTTGGTTCCTCTTATTACATTTCTTCTTTTTTAAAGAGCAAAAAGTGTTGTCACTTCTGGATCACTTTATTAAGGTAATTTCTAGGTATACTTTTAAGCAAACAAACATATCTATTTATAATTTTATTCAACGCACAAGTAAGAGATTAAAAAAATGAAAGTTTTTTTTTTTCTTCCTGATACAAAACTTAACAAACTCCAATTAAATTCAGTATTGATCAGCCAGGAAAACGACCGTAAAATTTACAGAAATTCTCCCAAAGATGCCTTTCAGTCCTTCTCCTGACCTTAATTCTTACACCATTTTTTCTAATTCCTCTATAAAAATCGAATCAAATCAAAGACGGCGAGGAAAGAAAAATATTTCTATAGTGATCTTAACTGATTATTTCAGCAAAGAGCATTAGCAATGAGGTATCTGCGAAACTGTAGGGAGAAAAAAGTATGCATTTTGTTCTTCGTGTTTATGATTCTTCCTAGAGAACAGAAACTACGAGCATGATTTATGGAACTGCATTATCTTGGATTTTCTCCGCAGATTTGACTCAACTTATTATCAGTGTTCTATTAAAGTGCTGGAATAGGTGGATAGATCTGCAGAGTAAGAAACGTGATTTGGGGTGGATGAGCCTCCCAGTTGCTGGAGGGTGCTTCGAGGACCAGGCTTAGGAGAGAAGGGGTTAAGTCAGACCCTGTCTTTAGCGGCGCAAAGTGCCCAGTTTTGTCTGTTAAAGTCGACGTCGCCCAACTGGAGCCAGCCAATGCACGGCCGGGAGCTCCCGGGCCAGCCCAGTGGAGGGGCGTGGCCTGAGGCTGTCACTCAGCAGTGAGGAATGACACCCGCGCGGGAGGGGGGCGGTACAGTGGAACGCAAGGGAAGGAAAGAGAAAAGAAACAGATAAAACCCGGGCAGGGGGTAAAAAGGTGCCCCGTGCCTCTGGGAATCCACCGCGGCCGCCACCGCCGTCCCCGCCGCCGCCTGGGCTGGGCTCCGGAAGAGCCTGCCCAGTAGGGCAGGGGAGGACGAGCTAGGAGCGAAATCCTGCAGGCGAGGAAGGGACAGACGCGCAAAGAAAAGTGACTCGGGCCGCGCGCCCCGGCGGCGCTCGGAGGGGACTGCAGCCGCGGAGGGGCCCCCGCCAATCCTCCTCACGTCCCCCGAGGGGGCAGACCCCGGCCCACCCCTAAGGGCGAAAAGGGATGAGATAATCCAGCTGAGCTGCGCAAGGAGAGCGTCTGGCTCTGGATTCTGGGGGAGGGGGTCTCCGGGCGGGGTGGGCCTCTGAGGTGGGGGTGAGGGTCGGCGCAGATCCTGGGACGCAGTGGGGCGGGGGTTGCTGGGCCGCGCAGGAGTGGGCGGCTGCGGCCTCGCGCACCCGGCTCACTCGCGCTACGGCCGCCGGCGCTCTCCGTCCAGCTCGGAGCTGCTAGGCGCCCCAGCTTCCCGCCCAGCCGGCCGCTCCGGCCCGCGGCGCAGATGGCTGTGCGCGGCGCCAACACCTTGACGCCCTTCTCCATCCAGGCGATCCTCAACAAGAAAGAGGAGCGCGTGGGGCTGGCCGCGCCAGACGGGCGCCCGGCGCCCGGGGGCACAGCGGTGGCTGCGGCTGCGGCACCCGCTGTCTGCTGTTGGCGGCTCTTTGGGGAGAGGGACGCGGGCGCGCTGGGGGGCGCCGAGGACTCTTTGCTGGCGTCTCCGGCCGGTACCAGAACAGCTGCGGGGCGGACTGCAGAGAGCCCGGAAGGCTGGGACTCGGACTCCGCGCTCAGCGAAGAGACCGAGAGCAGGCGGCGCTGCGTGGACGCGCCGGGGGCCAGCGGGGCCGGCCTCGCGGGGGGATCCTTGAGCCTCGGCCAGCCGATCTGTGAGCTGGCTGCTTCCAAAGACCTAGAGGAGGAAGCCGCGGGCCGGAGCGACAGCGAGATGTCCGCCAGCGTCTCAGGTCTGCTGCGGATTCGCGGGGATGGGGGCCGGGCTGAGGGGATGGACCTGGAGGGCAACCATGCCGAGTGGGGTGGCTGGCTGTGAGCACCCCGCGCCCTAGGGCTCGGAGGCTGGCCAAGTCAGGAAGTTCTACGTGCTGGCGCAAGCTGCTCTACTCCTTGGGAAACTGAGCCCGGGAGGGACTGGAGGAGCTCCTCAGAGCCCTGCGTCCCGTCCCGGGGGGGAGGCCTAAGACGTCCCGGGCCCACGTGCAGTAGACTGGGTTGGAGAACCGCTGCCCCCTGCATTCGGAGTTCTTTGAGTTTAGTTGCCAGTGCTTTCTGCCGTCTGTCCCCAAACCACCAAAATCAGGGAAGCAGAAAAGCGTGGGGTTCAGAGACCTCAGATAGCCAGTGCCTTAGCTCTGGACCAGAGACCCCGCCGACTCAGTGTCCCAGGGCCCGGCCCCACAGTAGATGTATATGTGGTGAAGAACACCTCGGAGTGGGCCCGAGCTGCGAATCTGCAGAACTAGAGCTTTAGGGAAAGGGCTGGTGTGGCTTTCTCAGACCCGAGGTCTGGGAGAGCAGCCCTAGGCCAAGGATCCCGGAATGGGCCTTTAGTTCGTGCTGGAGGCAGGAGAGAGGCCTCCTCAGCCGTGGCCTGGCCTGTTCTGTGGTCTGGAAGATCCCGGTGCCTGCCCTAGTTGGGTGCAAGCTTCTGTAGTCTCAAGCAGCGGGGAGCGCTGGACCTTTCTGTTGGAGTGCTTCGGGCGGGCGGGTAAGAGGCTGAGAAGCTGGTGTGGGATTAGGGTCCCAAACCTCGAGGCAGGCAGGGGTAACCCCCTCTATTTACTCTCCAGTCCATCCTCTCATATCCTTGCGAAGAGGAGAGGAGCCCATCTAAGGCCTTGGCTCAGCCTATTTCCATGTCCCTCACAGCAATCCCGGGCAAAGATTCTACCTACCTTTGGCCCCTGGATCCGCCTCCACCTTCCCTTACCTGCACCAGACCAAGTGTGTGCTGCGAGGACGCGCGCGTGTGTGCGTGTGAACTAAGTGTGGGGAGGCGCTTGAACCCAAGCAGAGAGACGGAAATGCAGCCTAGAACTCCAGTGCTCAGCGCTGAGAGCTGGGAGAGCTTTCGCGGATGCTCGGGTCCAGTGCCCCAAAGTTACTGAGGGGAGCCTGGGGCCCAGAGAAGGTGGGGAGCTGGTCTTGACAACAGAGCGTTGGCGCAGCGGCTGAGTCAGCCGTCCTCCTCTGAAGAGGCCTAGATCGGATACCCAGTGGGGCAAGATTCTCAGACCGGCCTCCTGGGCCCAGGGCCTCCCAGACCTCCGCTCCGATGGAGTGGGATCAAAGTGTATTCCGCCCCACCCCCCGTGACCCCTGCAGTTGAGGTCCGGCCTCACCTCGTCTGTGGCGCTGACAGTCTCTTGTTTCTGTTCCCACCGGGGTCCGCAGACGACCGCAGCCCAAGAACCGAGGACGACGGTGTTGGCCCCAGAGGTGCACACGTGTCCGCGTTGTGCGGCGGGGCCGGCGGCGGGGTCGGCAGCGAGCCGGCGGGCGTCGCGGAGGAGGAGGAGGAGCCGGCGGCGCCCAAGCCACGCAAGAAGCGCTCGCGGGCCGCCTTCTCCCACGCGCAGGTCTTCGAGCTGGAGCGCCGCTTTAACCACCAGCGCTACCTGTCCGGGCCGGAGCGCGCCGACCTGGCTGCGTCGCTGAAGCTCACCGAGACGCAGGTGAAAATCTGGTTCCAGAACCGTCGCTACAAGACCAAGCGTCGGCAGATGGCCGCCGACCTGCTGGCCTCGGCGCCCGCCGCCAAGAAGGTGGCAGTAAAGGTGCTGGTACGCGACGACCAGAGACAATACCTGCCCGGCGAAGTGCTCCGGCCACCCTCGCTTCTGCCACTGCAGCCCTCCTACTATTACCCCTACTACTGCCTCCCAGGCTGGGCGCTCTCCACCTGCGCGGCCGCCGCAGGCACCCAGTGAACCGGCCTGGGCTGAGGCCGCGAGTGATTCCCTCGCCCCGGCTCCCGACCGCCGCTGACGGCTGTAGGCTGTAGCCTACACGGGGCGCCCCGCCAAGGGGACACCCGGAGGTGAAACCCAGCCGCAGCTCCGGTTGGCCAGGACGTGTGCTCTGGCAGCTAGGCTGAGTCTGCCCCGAGGGGGCGCCTTTTTCTAATTCGAACAGAGGCACCCTATGGCCTAGGGGCCCTGATAGCCACAGGCCTGGAAGCCCCTGGACTCTATTTATTATCACGACAATGTTGGAGTTGAATTTGGATTCGAATTATGTCTGCCTGGGGGTGGTGTTTCCCTGAGCGGGAACTCCTGGAAACCACATAGCCTGAATCCTCGGAATTTCAGGCCTGCTGGGAGCGTCCTGCACTAGGCCACACGAGTTCATGGTATCCATGCTACCAATCTATGTGTATCTACATATCTTTTATTTTTGGAAATTGCGTTTGTAACCAAGGGGTGCCAAACCCTGGCAGTCCCAGGCACACCAGGCCAGGGGTTGATTTGAAACGTGAAGTTTTAGGTTTTCAGGCCCTCCGCTCCACCCCTCCCGTGTGTCAGAGCTCGGGTGGGGGCGCCCGATTAGGGTGCTGAATGTAAGGAAGGGAGCCTCCGAGCGCGGTGCAAACCGGGGGTCTCACACCTTCCCTCTCTGAAGCCCAGGTCTGCGCCCAAGCAGGAAGTGCCTGGGAGCCCTCTGAACGAGGAGAGCGCACAGCCGGGCAGCCCTCTGCAGAAACTTTTCTTCAATTTCTTTTTATTTGTTTAAAGGAGGTTAAGACGTGCAGCACTTTTCAGTTGTTTGTATTCAAATGACGGTTATTTTTGTATTCAATGTGAATATCCCTGGCCAGCCTTTGCATGGCGCCCACCGCAGTGCCGCCTGGCCCTCAGTCTCTACCTTCCGCCCCCTGCAACTCCTGTGCTCTGGCCCGGGACTCCCCTCTCTGCCCCTCACTGACCCTGAAACAGGTCCTACCTGTCTTGTCAACCTCGCCGCTTTTCGCCTCCTTAAGGGCACTGTGCACTCAACTAGAGATTAACTGTAAAAAGATTTGTGAAGTTTGGAAGCTCTATTCGCTGTATTTTTTCTTTAATTTATAAACTTTTAGTTTAACTTGCCCTCTGGACGCCGTGTTTTCTCTGACACTGTCACTTTCCGACTTGGGGGGAACCAGTAAGGAGGGCTGGAAATAGCTGGGACCTTTACAACCTCTTTTCCTTGGACCAAGGATGCTTAGTCTCCCCTGGAAGCATCCCTGCTGCCCGCCCACTCCTCAAGCACGGTGTAAACCTGGGCAGCTCAGAGAAACCATGGCTTCGGGGGCTTTGCAGGAGTCATGGATGAATCCCACTAAATCTGGGAACAAATTGCTAGGATTTTTCCCCATCCTCCCGTGAGCATTGGTTTCAGAGCCTAGTAAGACCCCTCGGTTGAAGCCCGAGCCAGTGACTCATCCCCCATCCCAATGTACTGACCCTTTCACCTCCCCTTACCCTACCCCAGCTCTCTCTGCTTTCGATTTGAGGAGCATTTCTCTACGTTATCTAGTCTTTAGTTTCAAGAGTGGTTTAGTGAAAACTCCAGCTAAAATTCTAAAGCGATTAGTTGCAAACCAGGCTCGAATAACGTGTCTCTCGGAGAAGGATCACTTGCGAGTTTACCACAGACAGGTGCAATTGGCAGTCTTCAAGGTTTCAAAGGGCTTCCCCGCAGTTAATGACATGGCGTCATTTGATCCTCAGCGAAGCTCACCGGAAGAGCAGAAAATGAGCAGGGCACCAGTTATTTGTAACCCATTTTGCAGATGATCATACCTGGCTGGAGCTCCCAGACTCCCCAGAATGCCACGGATTCACTGGGGCTAAATGCTCACCTTCACCAGCCGCTCGCTCAAGCCTAGTGCCCAGCTAGCAAGGAAGAGTTAATGCCACGTTGCGGGCATTGAGGCCTCCAGTCTTCGGGACGGAGCCGGGAAACACCAAAACCCAGGCTGCGGCTTCTTTCAATTTCACCTTGGGCCGAAAGCTCGATTAGGTCTCCGCTGCGGCGGCGACTTTTCCCAGCTCCCAGGCCTCCGAGCTTTGGTACCCTAAAGACCTTGGTCTGGGGTCTCGCAAGCCCTCAGACCCACCAAGGCAGAGCGTGGTGCCAAGCGTTTTACAAAATGATCCCCGCTTCCGGAAACAGCAAAATGTAAAGGGAGAGGAAAAGGACCTCGGGATATGGACACTCCCACCAGGTCCCCAACTCCAGTCCAACCACCTTCCATATGCTTCTTGCAATCATCTCGTTTCTTTACAAAACGCTTTAAAATTCTATTTTAATTTTGCAATTAATCATGAATGTGTTTTCCTTGTAGAGAGTTAGAACATTTCCGATAATCCCAGAATCTCCTTCCTTCCCCTCCCCAGGGATCACCACTTACTGAGCGGTTTTTTAAGAGGAGGGATTTTCTCCCTTTCTGAAAAGGCAGTTGCTTGTTGCTGCGTCTTAACTTGGCAGTTTGTTCTCCATCTTTGCTGATTGGGCGGTGAGAGAACCAGGGAGTGTCTATCGAGTAGGAAAAGGCACGGAGGTCCCGGTCGCACCCCGGCGGCTCCATCTTCCAGCGCAGACTCCACCTACCCTGCGGACCCGGGTGCCCCATCCCTTTCTCCCACTCTCCGGCCCCCTGCCTGGGCCGGCTCCGCCGGCTGGCTCTTGCTGCCTGGGGAATATGACTCAAATGAATTCAGTTTGATCCGTACTATGGCAGTTTCCCTACTAGCTGTCCCGCGGTTTGGGTTGGAGAGAATGCTCTGAGGTCTGATTCTGGGAGCTGGAGGCGGCCTTCGGGTCCAGCTTCTCCTCCGAGGAGTTCTGGCCGCATTTCGCGACCCAGACAGGGTCTTTACTTGGGTCTTCTGCCGCAGACGCGGCTGCGGGTGAAAATTTGGACTATTACGTTTTTCTTTCTTCACTTTCTTTTCCTTCTCCGCTATCCTCTCGCCGCCTTTCTTTCTTTCTTTTTTCCTGTTTTATTTTATTTTATTTTATTTGGAAAGATGAGCATTCCTGCTCCCTGCCCGCCCTGTCTACTCAAGGGTATCTTCGTTCACCCACTGCCGGCATCCCTGGCTGCTCCTCTGAGCCCTCTCTGCCTTCTCTGGGCCTGGTCGCCCAGAGCAGTGGCAACCGCCACCTGGGCCCGGTGGACCTTTGGCCTATTCATCATTCTCAGTCCCTCTGGCGCTTAGCGAATGAATCTTGAGCTGGCCTTGGAGATTTTCGAATTCGATCCACCCACTGTACAGATGGGTAAACCAAGGCAAGGGGAATGGCTGGGAAAGGGGGCGAAACAGGCTATGACTTGCTCTGAAATTGATCCCAAGGATTCAGGTCGAGCCCACAAATCTTACTCCCAGCAGCAAATTTGGGATCAACCAACTGCCAAATGTGGCTGATGGGTCTGGGTGTGGGTGTGTGTGCACGCCCGCGCGTGTGTGTGTGTGTGTGTGTGTGAGAGAGAGAGAGAGAGAGAGAGAGAGAGAGAGAGAGAGAGAGAAAGACCGAGTGTGAGTTTGGGGATGGGGAGGAAGAAAGACCTGATTTCCTGCCCTAGCTAGTCCCAAACCGCCTCTCATTTCTAGATATTAGGTTTGAGGGGCTCTCGGATCCCCAGAGAGTATCGTAGATGAGTAGGGATGACAGGGTGAGTTGAGATTGGGTTTCATTTTAGAAAATAAATGGCTTAAAGGCTGCACCGAATCCCAGCATCTTCACTGCTCCCCCACGCTGGGAAACGGAAGAGGGTGACATTGACACATATTCAGAAGGTCGTAATCGGGCTCAACCACGAGTGCCTGTCCTCTGAGCAGGGGCTCAGCCACGTCAGTATCCAGAACCCTGAGAAACTGGGCCCGTGGAATAAGGACATCTGGGGGCTTCTGAGGAGTGGGGAGTGTGCTGAATGCCGGCTCTTGCTTTCCTCTCCAAGACGCCTCTGGAGCAGACTCCGGCAATGGCACATCCCATAGAGGCAGAAGTTCATCCTGGGTCTTCAGAAGTCCTGGCAAGCAGGGGTCCTGGGGCTCTAAATCCCTAACCGGCCGCTGGAGCTCCGCACCAGCCAGGCCAACAATCCACTCTTCTCTACCCACATTTCAGTCCGTGTTTGGGAAGAAAATGTGGAATCTGGCTTTCCCAACGCAAAGTCCACGAAGTTTTACAGAAAACCTCCTGCGCTGCGGAGGGAGGGAATATGAGCAACAGAGAGAATCAGACATTTCTAAACCGGGAGGCTGGTGAAGGAGCTTCTGGGCCCCAAAAGAGGAACCGGGGTCGTTTGGGCAGCACTCTTTACCAGAACCCAGGCAGATCCGAACAAGGGTCCAGACAGCTCCCGGGCACAGCAGGGCTTCCACCTTGCAGATCACCAACTTCAGCCTGCCAGCCACCTTACTTGGCAACCGAGCAGAACTGCGTGGCGACTGCAAGAGACGGCAAATTGTTGATGGCGCTTTGTAAGTCGGAAAACGCTGAAGGTGGGTAGCTACGCCGTGGCTGTACACGATCTGGACCCACCGCTGCTACAGAAGCCAGCGAGGTGGGTGAAGGCCCGACCAGAGCCTCGAAGGAAGCAGCAGCAGAGGCTTCTGATCCCAAGGAGGACTGGAGGAACAATCAAACAATATTTAACAATAAGAAGAACAACAACAAAAAAAACAACTCCATTCGTTTGGCTGGAGTGTTACAGGTGATGAGCTTCCAAATCCTGTTAAGATCCGGTTGGCAGAGGCCCCCTGTAGCCTGGTGCATATGACATCCATTTTACAATTAGGGAAACACAGGATCCATGAGGCGATGTAACTTGTCCATGGCCACAGGTCATTTCGAGGCCAAGTCGTAGTCCTTCAAAGCCCCGAAGCATATTTTAGGATTTCAGGTGGCAGGGTAGATTGTCCTTTCTGCCAGCTTTGGGTCTGGAGTGGCCAGATCACAAAAGTGTGCAAGCATTTTGAAAACGATTAAACACTGTGCATCCCGTATGGGCTCATTATTATTGTTACCATTATTATTATTCTGAACTTCTGGGCAATGCTGAATTGGCTGACGTAAAACAATCTGCCTCCAGCTCCTGCAAGTGTCCTGTAGGTTGCTGAGCTTAGGGTCTCTCAAAGGTCTAGAGACCCTGGCCTCTGTCAGTTTTTGCTCCCTTGATACGTTTTAGAAATGAAGCAATACTGAAGTAGGGTTGCAAAAAATTGTATTATAAATGCTTACATCATCTAATAAACTGGGGGTTTTGTAGTCACATACAGGAGTTATTCAACATAAATTGGGTTGTTCAAATTATTAAAGCATTTATAAAAGTTTGATTCCCAGGGCCCTGCAGGCAGCGGTGGTCTGGTGTAGGGTATAGGTTTAAGTTGAACCATGAATGTCTTTTAAACATATTGGGTGTGTATCTGAGGTTGTGCCTCCAGTGAAGAAAACGTCAAAAGTCTAAATGTGGGGCAATTCGGGAATGTAAGAACTGGGCAAAGCGCCCTGCAGCCCCCACACTCCACCCTGAGTCCTGCCGTTTCGGGATTTTGCTTGGAGGCGGGCGGGGAAAAGTAGGAGTGTGGCTTTTGGCCGACCCAGAGCCGACCCGGAATCCGCGGCCACTAGCGAATGGCACCTTTCTGTTCTGCTGCAATGTACCGGTTTAAAGGGAACACAGGGTAGCTGCGGGGGTGAGGGTGTCACCTTCCCTTGAGACTCCCGCGAGGTAAGCTCCCTCCTGAACTTAAACGTCTCCTCCAAGCTTGCCTGAACATGAGTTCTCCAGGCTCAAAGCCCGCTCTCATCCGCTTTCCCTCCTAATCCATACCCCTGCTCGCAGTCCTTGGTGCCTCCAGCCGTCGCGTGGTTTGTGCTCCCGGGGAGCCCATAGCGCCTAGTCTCCGCAGCCCTCAGGGTCCCCTGCGAGCGCCAGCATTAATCCGCACCGCTTCTGCAATCGCAGCTTTAAACTCCCGGCGTGAGGATCCAGCGCTAGGTTCTGTGCTGCGGACCTGGGAGCTTCTTGGTGAGTCTTTCTATCTCAGTCCCGGTCCGCTTCTTTAGCTAAACTCAGCCTCTTTCCCTAGGACCT